TTATCAAAAATGCGCTGCATTCTACTGACTGAGTTAGTTGTGGTCTAACACGTCGACAACCTGGTTTTCCGCGTCGATCAATCCCGATCGGCAAAGAGCATAATGAAATACAACTCGCAACGAGTTGTAACCTCAACGCAAGCCTACGCAGAGACCGCGAAATCCGGTGAACTTAACGCACATCAGAGATAGTACGAGCTGCCGCCATGGGAAACTCCCGTAAGCTGTTCCATCTTATCCAGGTCAGCAGTAGGAAAGCCTTGGGTGTGAGCGAAACGATCTGCGAAGCTGACGGCTCGATGATTCATTATTACTTTATTATATTTCACATCTGTCGGAGGACAGACTGCGTTCCAAGCAAATCATGGTACAATATTCTTTATAAAAAAGAAAAGCGTTCCATGACTGGCTTGTGAGCTGAATACTGTCAGGTTGCCCAGGCAAAGCAGGTGAATTTTCTTGTGGAATCCACAACCGCAGCCTTCGGTTAGCCAAAGCCTGACCCGCAACGCAGCGCGGCGCGGCGGTGTGAAAACCGCAATCCATTCGGAGCCGGTGTCCAGTTCATCGGATCATACGCCCTTTGCACGGGGTTTTAGCCAACTCCCCTAGATGAACTACCAGTGATCCACCAACCCACTTATAGATCAGGATGTCGGCTTTTCGTCCACTCACTTTGGTGAGAAAATACCTCCGCTACGAGAAGGCAGTGAGTAGGGCTTCCTCAGCAAAGGCTATATGAGACGCATGGTCGTATGGGCGCATCTCGCGAGGTGCAAGGGAAGGGTAACCAGCCGCAACCCTAGACACTCACCCTCGACCATACTGAGGTATTCGAAGGCAGCGCCTTAGTTCCACATATACTAGTGCATCGCTTTCTGAATCGCTCCATTTGTGGAGCAATTAATTACGGGAAAACGGGGTGAGAGGATACGTATCACATCAGTTTCATTTCAGTGCACCGAAAGATCAATCTGATTTACTTAATAAGCGGTCAAATGTGTACGTATTTTGCATACTGTAAATGATTACCGCAAACTATTGAGAAAGGCTTTTCGGAAGTCATAAAGATCTTAAATCTTTTTCTAAAATGTTGTAACTTATTCAATTGTATAAGTGTTTACCGTTAGGAGAGAGAAAGCTGGGAGGCTATCAGTTAATGAAATTCACTATTTCGGTTAGCGCAATTTGGTTTGCGTCATACGTCCTGTTTTATTCAGTTTAATGATAGTTAGCTTTAAGCAGACATAACACAGATTGTTCGTTAGAGCAACTTTAATTCGTTTATGATAATGCACCGGCTCGCACAATGCAAGTTATGCGCGCTGAACTGTTGGGCGCCTACTCAAATGGCTGATAATGACAGATGTGTATCAGAAGTCCATTTTCATCGGCTCAATCGAATAATGCAGCCTACCAGCCCGTGGATCAGAGGCCTGCGATATATATCATGGATTTCAACTATCAACATCTGTCGTCCTTCGTCCTTTGACTCCAAATACTTGCATTTCCCCCTGATAAATTTAGACAGGAGGGATAGACATAGACGCCTAGCAGAGAAACGCGTATTATAATGCTGAACAGGATTCTGTTCAAGCTGCAAGATCCTTATGTTCAGTGGGAGTTTCTCTAGATACTCCATGTCTTCGACTGGGACAAATTAGAGTGCGTTGACTAGGCACAAATTTCTGTCCATTGGTTGATTCCATGAAAATAGTTTCTTTTTTCCATTTAGCCCCCTAGAAGTAGGGATTCCCTCACTGTTTAATCTTCTGACCTCATCTTCTTTTATTTACCTTCGAGAGACCAGGTCAGGGTTCGTTTCAGCTCTCTTAAAGCATCATCTGAGGCGTTTCTAATCACTTCATTTTCATGAAGAGGGTGGTTTAATTACGATAATGGGTTGAAGGGCGATCTGAGGTTGGTGAACCGTGAGAAGCTAACTCATCTATTGCTGTTTTAAAATGCATATTTGAAATGTAAAAAGGGAATGTTCGAAGTGGCTTCAGGATACCTTTGTCGCGATGGCAATCGGCCCTGATGAGTTTATTAGAGAGCCCTGAAAGCGTGATGTGCATCTCAAAGATGTGAAATTCGACCGAATGGATATCAATCATCCACCGCGATGTAAGTGTAATCAGATTTTGAATATCTTCTTTTCCTTCATGGAAACCACCACCGGTGACTGAACTAACTAAACGTTTAATTCTTGTTTAGACTAGTTAAATCCAGATTAAGGCATCTATCATGCAGTATTTTTTTCACGGTGCGGCTCGTCCTCCGGGGCTTGTGTTATGAGGGGCGAATTGCACGGTTCCATTCTTAGTCGAATTAGTTTACAAGTTCCAGCTTGATCAGGTTCTCTCTCTCCTCAATTGTATGCTGTCCTGTTGAACATGACCGAATGCAGTATCGCTGCAAACAGATTTTCACCTCAGATTCTGTTTTTGTCCATCCCTTACCTATAGGTTATATAATTATCATGCATCGAAATCAGTTATAACTGGCCAATCGAACCTCCATTACGGATAGTTCTGTCTGTTACGAAACATAAAATCAAACTGAACGGGCCACATATTAACTTGGTTTAAAAATAAATTATTGATTTGTGATTCACCTATTCGAGCTTCTCATTTCTTATGTCACTGACATCAAGACTGCTGACAGCTCACATCATGATCTACTTCACGGTGAGTAATACCTGTCAAAAGCACTTTATACTGAAACAGTCAACCTGTTCTAACCAATATAGTACCTGGAAAAATGGTTTATCGTACGCTTGATACCTTTCATATGATTGTCAACATAAAACGCAGCTAAAGGGGCTCCTATATTACACATATTCATCAAATCAATGTTTATGCGCACAAGTGTGCAGTCTCCTACGCCAAGGAGATGATCCATCTGGCTTGCACCCGCAAACACAAAAACAGTAGGGATGTACGAGGATTCCGTCTCTCCGAAGACGTATTGAGAAAAATACAACGATTCGAACTGAAGAACTGATTGATTTTAATAAATTTCACGGAACAGATCTGGTTAGGAATGAGCAGATTGTATAGACATTTCCAAAAAGGTACAGAACTCGGCGAATGAGATTTGTCCGTCACCATCTTTGTCTACACTGTCCATCCATTGTTTGATTTGTGCCTCGGTGCATCGGCGATAGTTCAATTGATAAAGCAGTTGACGCACTTCTTGTGTATTAAGATAACCAGAATGGTCTGTATCGATTGAATCGAAAGCGGATTTCCAAATTTTCAAACTGTAAAAACGGGATATCATTGAGTATAATTTGGGAGTATTTTGTTTTTTATAACAGTTGGCATGGCTTTTGGATTAAAATAAAATTGTGGATAAAATTCATAGGTCCTCAAGTGTAAATAACAAACAGTTCAGGAAGAAATAAGTAGATTGACGACAGGAAGATGCTGACAGTTCTGAGTTGTACGGATCTTCTCAAAACTCGTTTGATATTTTGCCAGTGACAAATTAGCTTATCTCAAAAATTGAAGATACTGAACTCTGTGGAAACGCGGTGCGCGTTAAGGTCATGTATCAGTGGACTAATTATTGCAGACGATTACGTTTTTCCCACAAACAGTCAAGAATGGTGCATATTTATTGAAATAAAATTGTCCAATGGGTACTGCTGCTGTCAGCCGTAAGATAAAGAAAAGTTACATCTGAATCGCATTTAAGTCCTAGAGGAAGTAATTTGCGTAATGTGCGATAGATGAAGTGCACTTAGATCGGAAATCCGTTTATCTTCCCCAGTCTTTTATGGCTTTGTCCTACTATTTGGGTGTCCAGTTTGAGATACAGTTTTCCATTACGAATCTGTATGACACTCAAAATGAAGCTGCTCTCATGTTGAGCGTAGTATACAGAATTTTACTTACGTTAAGAGTGAGGCTGCCGGTTGTTAGTATGAGAAATAGTGAATTCTTTTGGCACTGATTTTTTAGAGACGGCTTTGAGAATAATAAATGGCTGATATAATTTTTGCATAATTCGGAGGAATTCCCACGAATAATCTTCGGCATGGCTGCGGTGACAATTCTCTGGGGTAGTTATTCCGAATAACAACAAATTTACCATATTCACCTTCCATGATGTTCCAGGCTGCAGTCAAGTAGGTACAGCTATGCCGAACGACAACCTATAAGCGAATCCCTAAAAATTTCAAAGTTGTCATAAATTGTACGTGAAATTATTTTACAATCGCCTCTACAAAACTATATGCAATGAATCTGAAGGTTAGACAATACAATATTTCGTCTATCAAATTCTTTGGTAAGTGAGTTCAAATACATTCACCAGATTCCGCGAAAATGGTTACCCTGACAAATTTAATGAGAAACATACGCAACCAACTTCAGCTAGGGCACAATTCGCATGTAGTCCCAAAGAAAGACTAATTTTCAAAAATCGAAGGGCAATGTTTTTCACGAGTGCTGTCATCAAATCAACATTTTCATGGAGCAAACAATGGTACGCTATACATCTATCTAACTGCACGTGAAAGATAATCTGACGAAGTTGAGCACGTTAAACACGTCTGGGACGCACCACGAAGATGTCGTACTGCTGTGCATTTATCGGAATATGCTACAAAATATCATCCAAAATGGCTCACTCATGGGCAAGTGCATACCGCATTTATTTCCATTCTAGGCTGGTTGACAGCTGCTATACCATCAGCCCGGAGAACGAGTTGAATGTTTTGTATCGGATTCCTTTTGATCGATTCAAGGAAGCTGGGTTGTAATGTAGTGTAGTGTATTAAAGCTTTAGCGAGTTATATACAAGCTTTCAGCCATAAAATACACCACCGTTACAATTGCGGTAATTCTGGTAGAAACAAGTTGCGGCCAAAGCCTCAGATGTTACACCATTATCGTTAATCCATGTGTACAAACACAGTCGTTTTAATGACCTCAGCTGGTTTGGCCGAATGTGAACCAAGCAAAAGATCCAGGGGACGAAGATTATATCACATCGATGGATCGGGGAAGTTATATCAGTTGACCCCGTCGCACTGTGAGCATCCCGTCCCCCACGGTCATCCGCTGTATCAATGTAGCTCTCCCTAATCGCAGGTTCTTACAGGTATCTGCTTCGAAATGCGCTGCATTCATCTTTTAAGGTAATTACCTTTAAATGGTAAAGCGTCCAAACAGCTTTCTCCTTTCAAGTGATGGCCTTCCGTTCTTGTTTATCTATATGTATTATTCAGCCGAGTTACCGAGAGAACTGGAGAAATGACAGACAGAGCGTACATGTGAGTGAATTGAACCAATTAGTTTGGCAGATCAAATGTTCCACATGTTAATATTAATGTAGATTTAAACGGAAGTACGCAGTTGGAGAGAGATTAAGTAAGGTTTGTTCGCAGAAAGCATTGAAAGCTATCACAGGTGAAACGAATTTCAAAACCAGAAGTTAACGTTGGACCATAAACATTGATGATTTCGGTCAATTTACCACTTACTCAGTCGGAGGTGGAGGATCCAGTCCAAGAGCTGTAGTGTATTCCTGCAAAGTTACCTGATTGTCACCATTCAGGTCAAACATTCGCATGAAATCCTGAAAATTAATTATTTGAATTAAGATCTTTTGTCGGTACATTTTCTTCCTACACAAATTTGGCATTGAATCAGAAATTTTTAGCGAGGCATCTATTTGTAATAAATAAAAATGGTCTTTCTACAAGGAATAGATTAGAGAAACGAGTTCACCGTTGAGAACAACTCGGCTAGTTGAGCATCGAATTGTTTAGGAGTTCCTAGTCGCCTAATTTTACCGAATTCAGTAAAACAAAATGGTGAGTTGCATTGTCAACTCCTTGCAGCTTTATTCGACGTTACTTGCAGTTTTAACGTTTTTTTTTCCGCACATCAAGTTTTAATAACTTGAATAAGTAATCAGTGAACCGATCTGTGTGTCCTGTAATATTACTGTAATTTTCAGTTGTAAAAGACTTTAAGAAAATTGTCTTATTCACAAGAGCTGATATCACGATACCCGAAATATCGATTCAGCTCATCAGTTCAGTATTTAGATCACCACGCGCATTCAATGTCCAATAAAAGCGACAGAATCACGCAGATCGCTTTGCTTATTGATTATGTACATCGTGTGAAATATTTGGAATAAATGCATAATGGATAGTGTCCCCGGATTGGTCACCAAGATCAATGTCTATTAATGGGTGCAGTGAATGTTTCCAACGCAAATATGGATCATTTTATCATACTATTTTGTGTTGTACATCAAAACTTAGTGATCTGCTTTTCTCACGTCCATCTTTGCATGTATTGTTTAAAATTGACCTGATACTTCGGTTTTATTCACATGCGGAATGATTACGAATGAATAATAATATTAATAATGGTATAATATATAATATAATATAATATAATAATAATAATATAATAATATATAATATAATATATAATAATATTAATAATTTCTTTGGAATAGTAACTAATTAAATCTAATCGTGTGAAGGTCGAGAAGGTGATTCGTCTATGGTAAGATGCGTCATTAGTGTGTCCCTATTGGAAATCAAACTGCCAACCTCGGAATCGAAAGCCGGGACTTTTATTTCAGAGCTACCTGTAATAAATGCATGCATAATATCGGTGAAAATGTTCTAGAATTGACCCAAGGAAATTGCCGGACATCAGTGTCTGTTGTGTTCCGGGAAATGCTGTGATCCCCCACATATTAGAACATTTTAAGTGCGATGCTGAGGACACAGAATAATATGCTCTAGTTATGAGTTCCCACGAGGCTCTTTTTCGTTCCTTGAATATGAAATTTCATTTCATCTGAAGTGCATTTTACCTTGCGACAAATCAGAGAACTATGAGCGAGTGAGAAGCTCGTAAGAAAACGATATGCAGACTTTAAAGCTCACCAATCCACAAGGAAACTACCAGGAAATTTTCTAGGTGGAAGTTGTTACTACCAAGCAGTGTGCTAAACGTCAACTCTGGTCAGTCACTGCCAATTTCAACACCTTCTGCATTGAACAACAAATTCATCAGATCCATTGATTTCTATATAGTATGCAAAATGTTTTTTCTCCACCCGGACAATCAAGACAGGAAGTCACTTATGATCTAAGCAGAGGATACAAATTAAAAGGGCTTCTCAATACAGTATTTGCTGTAACCAACAACTGATGCGGGAATCTAAAGAGCGAAGCCCATTTTAAAATCGCCGCACCGCGCTGAAGAATTAGGTGACTAAATTTTATCCAATAAAATTCAATGAATCGATGATAAGGTAGACATTTCACAACAAAGTACATAACGGTCAAGTAATAAGGTTAAAAATTGCCTAAATGTACCTATTGATTTTCTATTCAGACTTCAAAGAGAATGACAAGAATTTGTATTAGTCGCACAAATAAAAAAAATGCGTGGCTCTTTCACATCATCATTTAGCTGTACGGCCAGATCTATGCATTGAAATTATGTGCTATGGCTTACCTCGGCTTGACTGGATGGTAAACCCGAAAGGGTCACAATTTTTTGAACTTCATCCATCGACAAAACCCCATCAGCATTTCGATCTATTTGATGAAATTTGCTCAGCAAGCGTTTCTTTTCATCTGGGCTAAATGACATCACGGTGTTCTCACGAGAATGGGGCTCCGGTGCACAACTTGCTATGATAGGATCAACTGAACCCGGGGTCGTATGCGCGCTTGGTGAGCTATCAGCTACGCACAAAGAGAAGACCCATACGAGTCAGTCTTTGTCTCAACTGTTTCAATTCATTTGGACGCTGTGCATGTGTGAATGAGCGTAGAGCCGCGTGTGCACAATCTCGTCACTTTTCGACATGGTATCACGTGTCAGTCGATTTCATTGGCTGATTGTGACAGCGTTTTTGCAGTTTCAATCATGTTTACAAAGTGAACCGAAAACAGCGATCTTTTCACTTGCCAGTACATCGCGGTTTTTTTCCAACATGAGCCTAGGAGGTTTTCCATAACGGAATGTGAAGAAACTGTGACCCATTGGAATGTGTCCAAGTCATTATGACCGGTGCACGTGATGATGAATTCTCAAAGTGCATTCATTTTGCTATCGAGTGAGACCGAATTGAGCTACCTCAACTGAGCCTAGGGGACTCAGAAGTTTCCGATAGTTTACCGAGTGATGATTAAAATGGACAATCAAAATATGATTCCACAGTTTGGAGAGATAAATATCAGAGGTAGTTTAAAAATGGTCAGAGTTTTGAAAATCCGTTCCCGTGGCTTTGGTGTACTAAATTGTTTTACACCTGTTCGTCGAACTAGGTAA